GGGGGGGGGGGGGGGGGGGGGGGGGGGGGGGGGTGGGGGGGGAGAAGTAGCCTTAACTAGCTCCTTATCTTCAACAGGCTGGATAGCTGTGGCCTCACAGCCAAGGCTTGTAAGAACCTTTACTTCACCCTGGGGATCAACCAGACCTTGACGGAGCTGTATCTGACCAACAACGCCCTAGAGGACACAGGTGTCCGACTGCTCTGCAAGCGGCTTAGCCATCCTGGCTGCAAACTCCGAGTTCTCTGGTGAGGGATGATGACCGATTCTCTCTGGAAGAGGCTGGACATTGGGCTGGGAGCATGAAGGGTAGATAAGCCGATGGATACTTTAATGCACTGGCCTATGCAATGAGGGGCACACAGCTGAGGCTAAGCATTACCTCTTGAAGATACTGAGGTCATCTAGCTATATGACCTTGGATAACCTCCTTGTCTATGGAAGGGGACCATTGTGGCTTACCTATTGCACTGGAGATTGCTGTAATTCCAGTGACATCTAGAATTACTCTGCTTGGATTCAAATTCCAATCACCCTTTTTTTTGAGATGGAGTTTTGCTCTGTCGCCCAGGCTAGAGTACAATGGTGCAATCTTGGCTCACTGAAACCTCCGCCTCCTGGGTCAAGCAATTCTCCCGCCTCAGCCTCCCAAGTAGCTGGGATTACAGGCATGCGCCACCACATCTGGCTAATTTTGTATTTTTAGTAGAGATGGCGTCTCCATTTTGGGAACTCCTGACCTCAGGTGATCTGCCCACCTCGGTCTCGCAAAGTGCTGGGATTACAGGCGTGAGCCACTGTGAGTGGCCTTTTATTTTTAACAGGATCTTGCTGTCACCCAGGCTGGAGTGCAGTTATGCAATCAAAGTTTAGGCCAGGTACAGGGCATGGCAACTGTTTTCCCAGTACTTTGACAGGCTGATGTGGGAGAATTGCTTGAGCTCAGAAGTTGGATACCAGCTTGGGCAACATGAAAAAAATCCCGTCTTTAGGAGAAGCATGCACGCGCGCACACACACACACACACCCCTGTGGTCCCAGCTACTCAGGGGTCTGAGATGGGAGGATCCTTTGAGCCCACGAGGTTGAGGTTGCAGTGAGCCATTATTACACCATTGCACTCCAGCCTGGGCGACAGAGCGAGCCTGTCTAAAAAAATTATGCCAAGTTCAGCTTCGGCGCAGTGGCTCACGCCTGTAATCCCAACACTTTGGGAGGTCAAGGTGGGTGAATCACATGATGTTGGGAGTTCAAGACCAGCTTGACCAACATGGAAAAACCCCATCGCTACTAAAAATACAAAATTCACTGGGCTTGGTGGTACATGCCTGTAATCCCAGCTACTAGGTAGGCTGAAGCAGAATTGCTTGAACCTGGGAGATAGAGGTTGTAGTGAGCTGAGATTGTGCCACTGCACTATATAGCCTGGGCAACAGACCGAGACTCCATCTCAAAAAAAAAAAAAAAAAAAAATTAGCTGAGTTAAAACAGCATGGGGACTTGTGTGTGGCATGCAGTAAGCCTGCTTTCCAACTCTGCTGGGTGGAATTTCTGCAGGATGATGGAATTATCATGGTGGTGCACAATAGACACTTTAGGCTTATTAATGGAATGCCGCAGTAGTGGACTACAGTAACATCAACTCTTGTGTCCACAGGTTATTTGGGATGGACCTGAATAAAATGACCCACAGTAGGCTGGCAGCGCTTCGAGTAACAAAACCTTACTTGGACATTGGCTGCTGAATGGTCCTGTCTGCTGGCTCCCACTTGAAATCTGGACAGAGGAAGATGGGAGTGTGCTCGTCATTCCCACAGCCTCATGATCAGGCTCCTTCCTACAAACTCATGCAGACTAAGATCAAAAGTCCCTCTGCTTGGGATCAAATTAACGTTTGATGGCCCCTAACAGGAGAGGTAAAACCCCAACAGGGGGCCAGGTGTGGTGCTCATGCCTGTAACCCCTGTACTTAAGGTGGGGGGGGACAAGATGGTTGCTAAAGTCCAGGAGTTCAAGACCAGCCTAAGCCACATAGCAAGCCTCCACTATTACGAATTAGCCAACGTTTCAGCCTGGGTAACACGGTGAAATTTATTAGTACAATTTATGACCCAGGAGGACACATGCCTGTAGTCCCAGCTATTCTGGGAGCTGAGGTGGGAGGATCGCTTGAGCCCAGGAGGATGAGGCTGCAGTGAGCTGTAATTGCACCTCTGCACCCCAGCCTGGGCAACAGAGGAAGATCTTGAAAAATGCCCAGTAGGGGGCCTCAGAAGGCCACCCAGCCCTGCAGAGCCCTGGCTGCATCCGGACCTAGTAATATTTGAGCTCTAGGGTAGGTGCCACTGCCATCTAGTGGACGACGCTAGGAATGCATGCCAACATCCAGCAAGGAATGCACAGGAACAAAGCGCTTGGTCCAAAGGCAAATTGTGCCAAGTTGAAGAAAGCCTATTCTCCAATGTCACAGGCTATGTGGGGCAGTTGGCGTTTGGGAAGAGACTGGTATACAAGCTGACCCTTAGAATGCTTGTTATAGCCAGGGGTGGTGGTTCACGCCTCTAATTCTAGCACCTTGGGAAGCCAAGGCAGGTGGATTGCCTGAGCTCAGGAGTTCCAGAACACCCTGGGTAACATGGTGAAACCCTGTCTCTACTAAAATACAAAAAAAATTAGCTGGGCATTGCGGCATGCACCTGTAGTCCCAGCTACTGGGGAGGCTGAGGCAGGATTGCTAGAACTTGGGAGACGGAGGTTGCAGTGAGCCAACGTTGAACCATTGCACTCCAGCCTGGGCACTGGGCCGCAAAAAAAAAAAAAAAAAAGAAAAAAAAAATGAATGCTTATTTCGCCAACAGCACTGATCCTCCCTTGCTAGAGGAGAATGCCTGAAATCTTAACGTGGCAGGCAAGCCAGGATGGCCCCTTGCCTGGAATTCACTGGGCCCTGCCAAGAACTGACACTTCCAAGGCCACATGTAGGGTGACCATAAGCTATTATACACTCTTTCAAGAAAATACACAGAACCCACCGGGCAAGATGGGCATGCCTGTCATTCCAGCAGTTTGGGAGGCCGAGGTGGGCGGATCACGAGGTCCAGAGATCGAGACCATCCTGGCCAACAGTGAAACCTGTCTCCACTAAAATACAAAAATTAGCTGGGCTTGGTGGCTCCAGCCTGTAGTCCCAGCTCATTGGGAGGCTGAGGCTGCAGTGAGCCGAGACCACGCCACTGCACTCCAGCCTGAGGCCTGGAGAAAAGGTGAGACTGTCTCAAAAAGTTAGCTGGGCGCGGTGGCACACGCCTGTAGTCCTAGCACTTTGGGAGGCTGAGGTGGGGTGATCACCTGAGGTCAGGAATTCAAGACCAGCCTGGTCATCATGGTGAAACCCCATCTTTAAAAAAAATACAAAGTAAAAAGTTATCTACCCAATATCCTTTATGTGCCTGCATTCAATCCTGTTTTTATGGCTGCTTCTGAAGCAAACAGCCATGGCTACAAACCACCCCCACCCACTCCCTGCCAGCCGTATAGGCCAAACCCTAACAAGCTTAAGAAACTGAAGGGTAATTGGATCACAGGGAGGCAAAGGTGGGCGGATCACCTGAGGTAAGTTCTAGACCAGCCTTACCAACATGTTGCCCAGCTCTACTAGAAATAGAAAAATTAAAATACAAATATTAGCCAGATGTGATGGTGGGGGTCTGTACTCCCAACTATTCAGGATGCTGAGGCAGAATGTCTTGAACCCAGGAGGCAGAGGTTGCAGTGAGCCGAGATCACACCATTGCAATCCAGGCTGGGTGACAGAGACTCAGCCTCACCAAAAAAAAAAAAAAAAAAAAACAAAAAAAACCCTCAATTCCCAGGTTTGCCATAGAATGACAGGCCCAGGTGGGTCAAATAAGGGGGAAGTTTTATTGGTTATCGTGGAGGACTTCCCTCCAACTAGGACACAGCTGCTTTATGAATTGAAGAGGCAAATAGCCAAACAAAAGTCCCTTGAAAGCTTACTTCAACTTCAGATACTGTGTGGAATGGGCAAAGCAGCTGCAGGGGTTTGGGAATACCCCCATGGGACAATGACCAGCAGCCCTGGAACCGATGATAGGGAGGCTCATGCTTATAATCCTAGATGAGCGATCACCTGAGGTCAGGAGTTTCAGACCAGTCTGGTGAAACCCCATCATCGTGGCTTGTGGCTGAAATCCCAGCTACTGTAGAGGCTGAGGCAGGAGACTTGCTGGTCCCAGGAGACAGAGGTTGAAGCTACTTGGAAGGCAAGCCTGGGTGACAGAGCAAGACTGTCTCATAAAAAACCCTACTAAAAATGAAGTCTCGCCTGGTGCCGTGGTAACCCGTCATGTCAGGGAGGCCATCCCGCCCTGGCAAGATGGTCAAGCCCCATCTGTAAAGGGGGGATGACTGATAACTAGAAAGTTCAAAGTTGGCCAATGAATGAGAACCAATATTTTCAGAGCATGGGGGCACACTGCTGTGCTGCCAGCTAAGGGTGGCGTGAGGGTGCTTTTGCAGGAGGATCTTTGGAGCAAGGGAGGTCAAGGCCACCTGGAGCAGTGTGGGTGGGAATTTAATTTAAAAAATCCCATCACCATCCACCTCAGAGCTTTTTGTTTTTGAGATGGGGTCTTGCTCTGTAGATGCACTTGTGACTACAACCTTCTCCCTCCTGGGTTCAGCCTGCTGGGTGCACTGACCAGAGGCACGTGCCAGAACACCCAGCTGATTTAACAGAGATAGGGTTTCACAATATTGGTCAGTCTTGAACTCCTGAGCTCAGGCGATCTGCCCCTTCAGCCTCCCAAAGTGCTGGGATTACTAAAACTTCGAGTTCTAGCAGGGATAGAAGGGAAACAATTCTAGGCAATTTCGTTTGAAGCAATTTACTTGGGTAGCAGAGGAAGCTTCAGTAAGGAAAGAGACAGAGTCTCAGGTCTGTGATCCCAGCAATTGTGGGTGGCGGAGCCCACCTGAAATCAACAGACCAGCCTCAAAACAGAACATGGTGCTGTTCACATTTTATTTCTTTATTAGGAAAAGTCAGACAGTGGCACTGTGTAGCAGGGTGCAGGAACTCTTACACATGGGCTAACAGTTCAGGAACAGGGTAGGCAATGATTCCCTTTAAACAACCAGGATTCCTAACGCCCTATCAAGGTTTTCCTTTACTGTTCATCTGTGGTCAAATCCCAGATCCTGCCCACCCCAGAATACATCCATTTTTATTAAAAGGAGCATACACTGGTAACCACAGAACAGAAACAAGGGAACTCCAGGTCAGAGTAGAAGCTGTCAGAGCCACAGGGTGGGCTGGCAGGCTGCCTTGAAGCAGGATCGGTCCTGATTCCCCACTCACACAGGGCTCCCCAAAATGGAAGCACTTCCCAGTACAGACAAATGGAATAGTGCCTCTATTTTGGGGATCCCAGCATGAGCTGCTCCCAAGGGAACTGCCACCACTGCATCTTTCTTGCCAGAGGTTGGCCTCCAATTATCCAAACACATGTTAAATGTCACCAATAAATATTGCTTGTTTGATGGCTCTGCCTGTAATCCAGGCTGAGGTGGGTGAATCATGAGGTCAAGAGTTCAATACTGATCAACCTGGTGAAACCAGTCTACTAAAAATGCGAAAAATTAGCTGGGCATGGTGGCAGGCATATGTAATTCCAGCTACTTGGGAGGTGGAGGCAGGAGACATCACTTAAGCCTGGGAGGTTGGAGGTTGCAGTGAGCAGGGGATGACTGTCCAGGCTGGAGCAAAACTTTTTTAAAAAGGAAAATTTGAGGCCGGGCATGGTGGCTCACGCCTGTAAGCAGGAGGCCAAGGTGGTCAGATCACCTGAGGTCGGGAGTTCAAGACCAGCCTGACCAATACGGCGAAACCTCTTTTAAAGAAAAGGAGGGGGCCGGGCGCGGTGGCTCAAGCCTGTAATCCCAGCACTTTGGGAGGCCGAGGCGGGTGGATCACGAGGTCAAGAGATCGAGACCATCCTGGTCAACATGGTGAAACCCCGTCTCTACTAAAAATACAAAAACATTAGCTGGGCATGGTGGTGCGTGCCTGTAATCCTAGCTGCTCGGGAGGCTGAGGCAGGAGAATTGCCTGAACCCAGGAGGCAGAGGTTGCGGTGAGCCGAGATCGTGCCATTGCACTCCAGCCTGGGCAACAAGAGCAAAACTCCGTCTCAAAAAAAAAAAAAAAGAGAAAAAAAAGAAAAATTTAAGTTCAAAGTTCTAAAGCACACTGTCAAGTATTAATGCAGTTTACTTAAATCACTAAGGAAGCTTCAGTCATGCCTCCCAAGTGCTGGAATACATGCCACGGCACCCAGCCAATTAATGCCCTTTCAAGCTTTTCCACCCATGTTTTCCTGCCCACTCCAGAAAACTTAGTGTCAATGAGGAGCGTACAGACTGGTAACCCACAGAACGGAAACCCCGGAATTCCAGGTCAGAGCAGAAGCTGCCGTCAGAGCTGCAGGGTGGCCCGGCAGGCTGCCTTGAAGCAGGATTGGTTCTGATGCCCTATTCACACAGGGATTCCCCAAAATGGAAGCACTTTCCAGTACAGACAAAAAGAAAAGTGCCTCTATTTTGGGTATCCCAGTATGAGGTGTTCATCTGCCACCACTGAACCTTTCTTGCCTGCAAGAGGTTGGCCTCCATCAGCCAAACACATGTTAAATGTCAGCAGTAAATTTCCATGATACAGGGTTAAGAGGAAAGTTACTCAGGTTTAAACAGCAAAAACCATTCCATTCCTTTCTTGTGCATCCAGCCCCTCTATCCCAGCTGCTCTTTAAACGTTCCCTTCCTCAGTATCGAACCCAAATTTTCTTAGTTTTGCCAAGTGAAAGCTCAGGAGCTCCCTCCCGAGGTTTTCCGGAGGCATTACACCCAGGTGCTCTACGGAACGTACACCCAAAACACTTCCCGGGTGGGAATCGAAACCCCAGGTTATTTGGTTCCAGCAGAAGACCGAGCTCCGCGGCATCTGTCGACCCGGCGTCACCGGTGACGCTCAAATGTTGCAGCACTTTCCACCTGGACACCGGGAAGAGTGCTCCACATTTGAGGGCCACCGGGTGAGCAGCCCCACCTGCAACACTTCCGGCCCAGAATCTTCCCCAGGCTGAGTTTCCTCAGTCGGTAGCACTCAAAAAATGGCGGCACTTTCACCATAGACCAGAAAGTGCCCCCACAGTTTGAGTGCCACAGGCCGAGGGGCAGCGGCAAGGACGCGGTAACACGTGGGAACACTTACCCACCAGAAGGTTTCTAATCAAGAACGTAGAAAATGCCCTTGATGGACTGAGGAAGACCTGGAAAACATAAGGGTTAATCTGAGAAAACAGCCAGTGATGAACAGAGCGGAAATCAGACAGTAAATAGGAATCGTGCCAGGGGCGGGAGATGCAGGTGTGAGGATCTCTTGAGCCCAGGAGTTCGAGGCTGCAGGGAGCTGCGATCGTGGCACCGCACTCCAGCCTGGTAAAGACCCTTAAAAAAAAAAAAACAAACCCGGCTTTCCACGCTTAGTCAAAACTTCTCCCAGATCTAAGCAATCGGATTGAGTATGTTACAAGTAGGAAGAATAACGAACAGGTGTGAGGGGACAGGGGGCCTT